ATATGTGACTTACTGTATAGGTATATGTGACTTACTGTATAGGTACTCGGAGCAGCCGTCGAAGCCATCCTCCTCCTCCTCACACTTCTCAGCAGCCGTCTCCTGGTCACTGATGGTGGTGGCGAAGATACAGGCACCATGCTCCACCAAGAACTTCACCATGGGTAGGTTGTTACAGGAGGCTGCACAATGAAGAGGAGTCCTGGGGAGAGAGGCAATAACCTTTATATAAAACCTAACTCAGAGGAAGGAATATTTAAACGTTTCTCAACTTCTCTATTTATTTAACTTTGAAAAAGCATGTACATGTAATAACAATCAATTGGATTAATTCCCTTCATCCATTGATGAAATTGTCTATCCCACTGTACATGTAATTACAATCAATTGTATTAATAGATAAAATTGTCTATCCCACTGTATATATTATATATGTAATAACAATCAACTGGATTACTTCTCTTCATCCATTAATGAAATTGACTATCCAACTATATACAATTGAATGTATCATCTATCCCACTCTACATATATTTACAAACATTTGGATTACTTCCCGTTATCTGTCCCACTTACCAGCCATCACTGTCAGGTGAGTTTACATCACAGCCAAACTCCACAAGGAATTTAACGATCTCATAGTGTCCAGCACAGATGGCGTTGTGTAGAGCCGTGATTCCCTCATCATTGGGCTCACTCACATCATGGACCTGATAAAGATACAATACTTGAGTATTAAAATTGATCGGCATCTTTGAAAATAAGATTGGGATTTTGAAAGTTACCTGCACTTTGTTCAAATAGCAAATATAGGTACTCAGTTAATGAACTTAAGAGAGAGGACAGATAAGTTCCATTTCTGAGCATCTCTTAACTGAGTATCCCTATGTACAATATCTTTAATATTTTCAGTAGCACATATCTCAAGAATACTTAAGCTGGTCATCTTGAACAGGTAATTATAACCAAACAAGGAAGAGGAAAATGGGAAACCCTACGAGAGGCTGTATTAAATGATTACCTGAGAGGCGCAGCGCTTGACCAGTTCCAGTTCTCCCTCCAGTGAGGAGTCCAGCAGCAGGGCCAGAGGATCAAAGCTCACACGATTCCCTGACTTTTTAGCATTACGGTTTTTCAGGTTTGTCTTTTTCTTTACTGGTTGGTCAGATGTGACAATCTGAAGACTGGCAGGACTAGATGTTTTACTTCCATCTGAGCCGTCCGCTGGCTTGCCCTTGTCTGATAGGTCAATGAGGTTACCCATTCCATCTACAGGGACGTCCTCAGGGACTTGGTCTTGGAAGGACGTGGCCTGAGTGTCATACCCTCCAATGTGACGTCCCTCCCCGGTCTCCTGGGATGTGTACCCCGACTGGTTCTTGTAGCGGTCCACATACTTGTGAAGTAATTTTGTGATGTCTTCATTGTCACTGTCAGAGTGCCGTCGGCGAAGGTTTACATGTTTATGTGTATGCCGATTGTGACTGACCTTATCAGAAGCAATGTCTGTATATTGTGGAGAGGTTGGAGGTGAACTAGGCTTACCTCCCTTTGGGGAACTCACTGGTGGTGACAGTGACTGGGAGGCTGAACTTGACGGTGGTGATAATGAGTTAGCACTGTTTGGTGGTTTTTGATTCGTGTTTGTGTGAGATTTGTCCTCACTGGACTTATTTGTTTTTGCACCATCTTTCTTGGATATATTTGTATACATCATGTTGATGTTTTGCTGGTACTTTTTCAGGGCCTCAGGGCCCAGCTTACCCATGTATGTGTTGGCTATCACATTTTTAGAGGCGTATTTGTATTTAGGCTGCTGTTTAGAACTGCTCCCTGAATCACTGTTGAGAGAAGAATCAGACCCATTATTACTGTTGGTGTCCTTCATGGAATCTGTTTGATCATAGGAACGTGCATTTTGCTGTGAATGGGGGTAGGGAGGAGGTGCCCCTTGTTGTTTATTTGGGGGTACAGAGCCCCCCGGGTAGGGGGGCGGGTGTTTGTTTGGCCCTCCATGACGTGTAGAAGCACCGTTATTAGTATTAGAACCGTTTGTCCCATTAAGCAAAGGAGTCTGTTTCTCCGAACGGTTTGTGGATTGATGGTCAGAGGGGTAAGCACTGTTTTCTTTTTGAGAACTGTCACTTGATGCAGGTGAACTTTGTCCACTGCCCCCAGTACGTATGTCCTCCGCTATTGTGATTGTAGGACCCCCCTGTTGGTCACTTGGACCCCTGTTTAGCACAGAGGTACTGTACGTTGACCCAAACGGCCTTGCCGTAAGATAAGTCAAATTTGTTGTACCTGCACGAGCAGGGATTGGTGGCGGAGGGTGTTTACCTTGTTGCTGCCCTGACGTTGAATACTGGGGTTGTGATGGCGTTTGCCTTGTCTCCTTATGAACATGTTCAGATGGGGCATACCCATTTTCTTTTGGCACACTTTTTGATGGATCAACTTTTGCTGTTAAGGTTTTAGACTTGAGTTCCTCTGGTCCCTTCATCACTGTATTATTATTAGGCTCAGGCACATTTTCAACAGATTTAAGCTGTTTTTTGGAGGTATCATCAGAAGAATTCATCACAAACTTTGAACTCACAGGTAACGACTGATATTTAGGATCTGCTTTATGGAAAGTTGGATCTACATTTCCATTTAATTGATCTTTTGGCACAATTTGTACGTAAGGTTCCACAGCTGCCACATTGTTCCGCGTCGGTTTATTCCCCGATTTGTTATCTGACTGCTGATTGGCCAGTTTTTTCTGTTGTTCAGCCTGCTGGGCACGTTTCTTTTTCAGTCTTTGTTGCAACTCCAATATTCTGTTGTCCATTTTAGAAATTTCATCTTTTCGCTGCTTCAACATATCCTTGTGATTCTTCAGTTTGCTACTTTGTTGTTCATTCAGTTTATTTCTCATCTGCAAGTACACAATGGGCTCTTTACATTCTGTCTAGT